TCTTTCCCTTTCCTTCCTCTTCTTTTCTTTCTTTTCCCTTTTTCTCTCCTCCTTCCTTTCTTTCTTAGCCTTCACCTCTTCTCTCTGGATGTCCCCAGAAACAAAGCAACATTTATTAGGACAGAAGACAATAACACTAAAAGATGTGGAAAACCGGTCACAATTTAGACATGGAAATGCCAACAAAAGCTTCTCATACTCTTTCAACACACATTCAACAGCCTTTTTTTTGTACAGTTCAGTAGTATAGTTCTAGGGTCTCAGTATTCAACAAGGTACAGTCGCGGTCAATATGTATGAACATTTGAGATGCCTACAAAGGCATTATCTGTAAGCAATGCCTACAAAGGAATTATCTGTAAGCAATCTTTGTGCCATAAATTTAGCTTGTTTATCGGTTCCATACACAACTTCATCCCCATAAACCAAACATTTGGACAACATAGCGTTAAGCTAAAGCGTTTGCTCAAGTCTACTGTGTACCAGCAGATAAAGCATGGAAGCAAGAACACGACAGAATTTTGCCCCAACATCCAATGGACTTCAAAAACCCAATCATGAGGTTCTTTTTAGTTCAGGAAATTTTTGAACTCTTTTTGGTTCACCAAGTAAGAAGTTCTTATACAGATTACCCAAATCAACAACATTCGCTCACTGGCATACAGCAGCATACTACAGTATAATATTGATTATCATCTGCGACGCATTACACATTTTCTCCCTTCTTTCTTCCCGACAATTGTACTAACGCATACTTTTACGAAACCCTAGAATACGGATACCGGAATCGGGAACTAAGGTTCGAGAACCAAACACCGGTAAGTTGAGCATTCGAAATCGCAAGCACCCAAAACCAAAAATCGAAGCCACGAACTAAATGCTCAACAAACCTTGATCGATTCGATCAGAGCCTCGTCGCGGATTTCATTCCGTACATACCCAGGTGGCGGGAACGGGTAACACCGGGACATCTTACGATCACAGAAAACCCCACAAAACACCCAGAACGCAAGCTATTTCAAACTCGAAATGTTGAAAGAAAATTCCCGGATCTGGGTAGATAAAACGAAACCCTAGATCCGTCACGATTGATCGCAAGGACTTTAAAGGAGATTGTTAGGGCTTCTATGTCCCGCCAAAACCAATTTCGGAATGTATAGGAGAGAGGCTACGAATCGAAGATTTTGATTAATCGGAGAAAAGATAGAGGAACGAGTCGAGAATTCTCTCCAGCTCCGACCCAAAATTGTTTTCCTTGCCTCATGGAACCGATATTTATAGCAGAAGGATTGACCCTACAAGAGCGAAGCCGGCGTGTTTGTTAACGGAGATAGCATTGCAACGACGTCGTATTGGTACAGCTTTTGTGCTAACGCTTTTACAAAGTATGTTTGGCAACGTGGATAGAGTTACACCGATGCCAATGTTTTTACGTACGATACACGATTTCGCAGAGGGAAGTTTGGCAAAGAGTTTGGGCCAAAACGACGACAAAAGTAGAAATGGTCTCTTAAACTAATGTAATTATTTTACACCTAATAAAATAGGTTATTATTACAAGAAAACGTCTTCAAATTCTTACATCAGCCATAACATAAACAAAAAAAAAATCATACAAAATAAAATTGTTTTCGTAGTTGCATGTCGTTCCATTTAATTTATAACTACAAACCAAAATGACACGTGACAAATATTGAAATCCAGTTAAAATCGAAAATTCCAAACGATATATAAATGTGGTCTACAATACTCTGTGAATAATAATATTTTAGTCATATTTGTTAGCATGTGAAAAATGTGAAATTCATGGGCAGGGGCAGTTTAGTAAATTGAGGTTGTCCACCTGTCTTCATCCGTTGGGCCTTGAACACAATGTTTATATAAGATGGATCCGCGTGATCTTTTGGTCAACGTTGATCGAGCTTATGACATGTAGCCCAAACAAGTTTTTCCAATAAATGTAAACTGAATAATATATATTTTGTTGGCCATTAAACTAATATATATATATATATATATATATATGATCAATTCGAATAATATATTTTCTATTCAAACCAATTCTGATATAATGAAATACGATAATAATTTTTGAGAAATAATAAGGGCCATGTTGGTTATATCTAGAAGTGGTCATTTCGAATTTCGCTTCGGTTATATTCAGGTTTGATTATTTCGGTTATAGAAAAACTATAACCATTCAGTTTTTATATAAAATTCGATTCGCTTCGGTAAAATAATTGTTTTTCAAAGAAATTGTAGGTTCTTTCGGTTATTTTTTTTATTCGATTCGGTTCGATTTCGATTTTTTGGGGATTAAAAAAATCATAACCATTCGGTTTTGATATCGGATTCGGTTTGGATACGATTATATCTTAGTCGGTTCGATTCGATTCAGTTATTCGGTTAATAACCAAAATAGTCACTCCTAGTTATAAGGTTACGGTTATGATTATGGGTGACGGCGTTTTCAAAACGTTTGATATTAATTATAAATGATTAGTACTGATTGGTTGATAAATTATTTTTAACGGAATTGATATGATTAGAGTTTAACGGTTCGTTGCAGTTATGTTTTGATATAAATTATCAAAAAAGAATTATTTTAAAATAATTTATAATAGTTGTAATTAAAATTTTAGTATAATTTGATAAAAAAAATATTTACTAAATTTATATAATTCAATAATAAATTTAAAATACAAATATTATAAATTTTATAGATTTTTAAGTAAAAAATAATGTTATTATGAAAATTATTAAAAAATATTATTAAACCTAAAAATTATATAATTATATGATACTATTATATTTTTTATTAAAATATGGTACTAAAATATAATATCAAATCATAACACTAAACAAAATCATTATCAATATATATATATATATATATATATATATATATATATAATTTTTAATAAATATATTTTAGTATTTTTATCTAAATAGCATATAAACTGCTATTAAAATATAGGTTAAAAATTGTGATTAGAAAATACAAATTTGGTTGTGGTTGCGGATGATTCCGACCAGATAATTTTTCAATCATCCACAATCGGTAAAAATCGTAATAGTTTCGTTTGCGGTTAATAGCGCTGCAATGATTCGGCCTTAGGAGAAGGTGTTATAATTTTCCGTGAGTTCAAGCCACTAAAGATTTTTAATATATAAATAACGCTATAAATTTAAATAAAATATTGTTTATTTCTCTCGTATATCCACCTGTGTGACTGCTAGGTTCGACCAACCGTAAAAGTTGTAATCCTTCAATAAATAAAATAACGGAATTGAATTATTGGTATTATTAAAATTAAAATGAAATCTAAATAAAAACATTATTTCCAATCAAATAGAGAAATTTAATCTAAAACCAAAAAATATATATAGTTTTTCCGATAATTTAATAAATAAAAATACCATCAGAAAATTCTTTGTATAAAAAAAATTATTCATCTCAAAGCCCTCTAAATATATATTATATATTTGGTAAACGATGGTTGTTTATTTCAAATATGTACATATTTCTATATACATATTTCTTTCTATATTTCTTTCTATATTTCTTTTTGTATATATATATATATATATATATATGATTATGAATAATATGTTCTGACAAAAATATTGATTTTAAATTTTTATTGTTATTATAATTCAAAAAAGAAAAAAGTGCAGTTCGATTTTGTTATTGGGTTATTATTATTATTGGATATTTGAAAATCAATTGTAAGAGAAACATTCAGAAAATTTTCGATAGCGAGTTTTCAGAAATAATAAAAGTAAGATGCACGATTATTCTCCACTGACACATATGGAGACAAATAGTGGGCATAATATCCGAAAAATCGAACCGATTCGTTATCCGAATAAAAAATTCGGATATTCAGAATGTACGGATCGAATAGGATATTTATTTTGAAATATTTATCAGATACGGATCGGATATGGATATCAAATTCGAGTTATCCGACATTTTCTATCTGATCTCAACTAATTAATAATATTATTAAATATAAGAATAATTTGGTATAAAGATTTAAAATATTTTATATTTACATGTTTTGTAGGTATATTTAAAAAAATATTTTTTATATATTGAGATTTAGAATGTTTAATTTTTTGAATATTAAGATTTATTATGTTTAATTTTTTGAATTTTGAACTTTGAATATATTTGTATATGATATATTATGATTATATTTGTATTTAAATTGATTGTAAATATTTAAATTTTAAATTTTAAATTGTGAATAGAAATGACATATATAATTTATTTATATTTGAAATTGTTATTTAATTTTAATTTTAATTTTTATAATTTTTATGTTGGATACATATATTCACAAATATCTACAATACGGATCGGATGTAGATAATAAAATCGAGTATTTATGCGGATCGGATAGGGATACGGATATCTCAAAAATATATATGTGGTCACCCAATCCACTAGACATTTGGCTTTAAAGTGTAAATAATAACGTTAGTTTCTCTCTTGCAACTAAACCCTAAATGATCTCGATAATAATAATAATAATAATAATAATAATAATGTTTTATTTCGTCTGTGTGGCTGTTTTTTAAAATGGATAGCCCAACTGCAAAAGTTGTAATGTTTCGATAACTAGAAACTGATATTTGAATTAATGATGCCAACAAGGCATGGGCACTCGCAGCTATGATAATATTTATTTTTAGGATAAATTAATACGTTGTACGATTGAATATAAAAAATAATCTCGAAATAAAACATTTTTAATAAAAATTGAACGGATGAAAATAGAATAAAAAAAGATACATCAAAAGGTGATAATTATTGTGTTTATCAAACTGAAAAGACCACTTTAAAATAAATAAATCGAAATATAATGAATATCACCCTCTCTACTCATCGGCCAAATTACTCTATATCATACTTTTATCCCAAAATCTTTTAGTTTTTTTTATATGAATTTATTGCTTATGGTAATTTTTGTGAATACAAGCTTGTGATATGGGATTGAATTCCAAATATAAATTGTAAATCAATATAAGAGACAGCTACGTATGTGTTTAAAATAATATTGTGTGAAGGTTTTTAATTATAATTTAGCAATTAACAACCACTAACCCCGAAATAGAGTTTGTTATTTACTATTTACTCACATAATATTTTTATCGTTTGCATGAAATTTACCGTCGGTTGGTGAGGTGTTAAATCCACAATTATATCTTTTCACATGCTATGGTAAATTATGGGAAAAAAAGGAATAATTATATCCACCACCACCATCATAACTATATGGTTAGGACACCAATCAACTTCACATGATGGTTTCTCGAATCTAATTCATTAAAAACTTAATAAAAATAAATCAACGTTTTTATTGATCAATGTTATGCAAATTATAATAAATCGAACATAAAAAACCTAGTTTCAGCGTTATAAAAATACAAAATTAAATATTTTTTACTTTATTATTCGGAATCGGAAGTATTTTTTTTATAAATTAACTCGTATTGACATTAGTTTTTATTATAATTTATTTTATTTTATATTAATTTTAATTTAGTTAAAAGATATTATACTCATTGCGACACAGAAATCTTTGACGATGGCATTTTAGTGAATATAGAATGAATAGGAGGGGTATTCCGTAATATCAGTAGGAATCAACACCTTCGACATGTGGCAATTGAAATCAAGCAAGCAATCGCATGTTCCGTATAATTTTCTCAGAGAATCTCTCTGTTCCTGATCCGAAGACAACGAAGACGACGACGAAGATAAAGACCCATGTTTTATTTTCTCGGGAAACAATGTCAGTAGATTCCAGAATTCATTCTTCTTCTTCCTCATTTTTCTGACAGATTTCCCTCAGATTGTATCTTTCATCGTTGTACTTGGAGAAGTGTGAGGCAAAATTACAACGGTTGCCTTGCCTTCCTCAATGCATTAGGTGAGCTTTCCAACGCTAATCTCCTCGTCTTATGTTTTTGCTGCGGTTCTCAATGTTTCTTCTTTGACTTGTCACGGGAAAAGGAGCTTGGTCGTCGGCGAACTATTCTTTTCCGGTGAGGGTCGCCGCCGGAGTGTTTAGACAAACTTCACCGACTTTTTCTTTTGTTTTACTTTCGCTTTCGTCAGCTTGAAGTGTTCAGGAGACTCCTTTGATTCTTTTTTTTTCTTCTGAATGTTCGCTTTTTTTTTTGGAAGATCTTTGTCGTAAAAAAGCTTGCGGAGACGGGTCCTGGAGAATCTTCGAGATCAATATCTAATAAACCTTCTTTCTATTTGGTACTCTGTTTTTTTTTTTTTTTGTTGCAGTTGAAGGTATCACTGTCTGCTTGACTGATTTCTTTAGCCATAATGCGATTCCTGAATCGATGATTCCTCGGAAAATTCGAAGCACTGTGTCTTAACCTCGAATCCGGCGTCGGAATCTCATCGAAATCGGACTCCAGCGTAATGCAGGAGTAGAAAAGCTTGGATTTCGTCTCCCCGATTCCCCCGATTGTCTGAAACCCCAGCACAGTAGAGGTAAAATCTCGTATCACCCGGTGTTTCAGTCTCGCCATTTGTGAGGGTTTCGAGCTGATTTCTTAGCATAACGCGGGCAATGATCGGCACGAGCAGGAAAACCGAGAGAAGAAGAGAAAATGGCTCATTCATGGGATCATTTGGGGGAGATTTCGTCAGTGGCGCAGCTCACGGGGCTCGACGCCGTGAGATTGATCGGAATGATCGTGAGTGCGGCGAACACTGCCAGGATGCACAAGAAGAACTGTCGGCAATTCGCTCAGCATCTTAAGCTCATCGGAAACTTGCTCGGACAGCTTAAAATCTCTGAGTTGAAGAAGTACCCAGAGACCAGAGAGCCGCTCGAGCAGCTCGAGGATTCTCTGAGGCGTTCTTACATCCTGGTCAATAGTTGTCAGGACAGGAGCTACCTTTACTTGTTGGCAATGGGTTGGAACATTGTTTACCAGTTCCGGAAAGCTCAGAGCGAGATCGATCGTTACCTCAAGATCATACCTCTCATCACTTTGGTCGACAATGCTCGCATAAGGGTAACTGGAACTTGTTGTTCTACGGATTTCCGCATCTTTTTTTTTGTGGGTTTCGATCATGGCGTTACCTGTTGTGTCTGTGAATCTATGATATTGAAATGCGTGTGAAAAATATGTAGGAGAGGATAGAGGTGATTGACCGTGATCAGCGCGAGTACATTTTGGACGAGGAGGATAGAAAGGTGCAAGATGTTATTCTGAAGCAAGAATCCACCAAAGAAGCGGCCTCGGTTCTGAAGAAAACGCTCTCTTGTTCCTACCCGAACCTGGCTTTCTGCGAAGCGTTAAAGAAGGAAAATCAGAAACTGCAGCTTGAACTTCAGCATTCGCAGTCGCATTATGATGTGAATCAGTGTGAAGTTATTCAGCGTTTAATCGATGTTACAGAAGCCGTTGCTTCTGTTGATTCTTACCCAGAAAAGGACTCTTCTAAGAAAAGCTACCATAAAGACGCCAGCGACAAGAAAGAGTCTTCATATGACAGTAGTCGTTCATCTTCGAGGTTGGCATCTCTGACTCAATAGCTAAAGATCCATGCTTTACGTTCTATAACCGCAAGGGCATTCGAATTTGGTTGTGGGCTAAATGATGCTTACATGCCAGAATTCGTTAGGCAGTTATGTTCCTATGTCGCTGATCGGTGTTATCGTTCCACTGCAGGACCGCGTCTTCTGTTTCGTCCGGACATGATCTTCTTTCAAGCCGAGCATCACATCACCATGAAGAATGGGAGACTGACTTGCTGGATTGTTGTTTAGACCCTTCTCTATGTAAGCCCTCTCCCCTTCTAATTTGGAATGATATTACCGAATATAGCTCCAGTTTTTGCTCTTGTTGATGGCGACGAGTATCATTTATCGATATTGCGATCTTATCTGTATGCCCAAAAGTTGTGAATAATTTAACCGTAACGGTTTTACGACAGGCTTGAAGACATTCTTCTTCCCTTGCGGCACATTGGCAAAGATCACAACTGTAGCAACTGACAGGCACACCTGTAAGAAATCTGCTCTAATGATCAGTAGCTGTTACTTTGTTATTACGACCCGGGATTGAGAATCTGATAAATACTAAACAACAACCATCGTCGTTCTTCCTCTTGGCTTTTCAGCGTCAGCTGAAACATGTAACGAGCTAATGGCGTATTCTCTGGTATTGTCATGCTGCTGCTACACTTGCTGCATAAGGGGAAAGCTCCGGAAGAGGCTGAACATCACGGTACATGCTCCTCCTTCCTTGCGCTCTAAGCAATCTATAAAACCCTCGATTTCGACATCTATACAGTCTTCATCAAAAGAGTTGGTTACATTTGGCATCCAAAAGGGAGTTTTCCAAAACTTTGTCAGAGAGGTGTCTGAATACAACTTTTATCTCCGGGTTTACCAGAGAATCTTCTAGAAGATTCTGATAGCTAATGCCTTGAAATACGGGTATCTTGGGGTTGGCAGGGAGGATTCATCGATGATTTTCTCTCGCATCTCATGTGTTGTTGCTGTGCCCTTGTTCAAGAATGGCGAGAAGTCGAGATCCGTGGAGCTTACGGTAACATTAAAAACACATGTTCCCAATGTTTTACAGAATCTTACCCTCGGGACATGAACAAAGCAGTTTTAACTGATGTCAGTGGCTTCTGTTCCCGCAGCTCAGGAGAAGACCAAAGTCAGCCCCCCCAGTTCCCAGTTCATGGAACACTGAAGAAGAGTTGCCGTGACAAAGTCCTTCATTGTCTTTTACCACGTGGGAAAATATATTTTTAGGTGAAGGTGATGCAAATGTTATCTGTTGTCTCTCACAACATGAAACTTCTCCAAGAACTGCTTTTGTCTTTCGTTTCATCCATGACGTCAACTTATGTAAATTCAGTTCCTTTGTATCAAACAACTAAATTCTTTTTTTTTTTTTCTATATGATATATGTCACTGCCATTTTTTCCCCTTTTGATGACTGTTTACAATGCAATGTCTTAAATATCGTGGATGGGGAGATTGCCCGAGGGCCAAATCGAAAAACTTTTAAATTCACAGAAAGGACCCTAGTTATATAATTAATTAATTATATTTTCTACGGAATTAAAAAAAATGGATGAGTAAGTTTTTAAAATTGAAAATACTTGGAATTAAATATAAAATAATATAAATAGTTTATAAACATTTTTTTTAAACAAAACCGAGTCAAACAGGAATTAATAATACCAAAATGAAATGGATATATTTTTTAAAAATAAACTCGAAAATAATCAAATTAAAATCATACTCGGGCCGATTCCTAAACTCGATTTCCCGGCTAAAATTCCCCGATTCAGGCCGAAACCCTAAACTAGAACTAAGATCGGAGCTGGGATATGGTGAGATTTAGCGGAGTGCTGCTGAAAGAAGCGGGGCATGTTATCAACAAGACTCTGTCGGAGATTCTCGTCTGCCCTCTTTCCAAGCAACCCTTGAGGTTCGATTCCCTCCCGATTCCATCGTTTCTCCCATTTCTGTGGAGATTTTCCCGCTGTAGATTCGTGTCTCGTTTACGATGTGTGATGAATTCTTTGTCAGGGTCTGCGAGAAGACGAATTCGCTGGTCAGCGACGCCATTGGTGTCTCTTTTCCCGTAAGTTTCTGTTCCATGTCTCTGGATTCGATCGAATCCGAAGCTGTTACCTTTTCCCAATTACTTCGGTGCATTCGAGAAATTTGCAGGACATTGAGATAAACCCTTTTTTTCCCTCGATCCAAAAGCTTTGCAAATCCGTTAGGGACAAGCGTTTAGTTTCATAGAAAGCTTTGATGAAATTAGATTACCTCTGTCACCATGAAAGTTGGAACCCTATTGGCATCTGCCTTCGAAACTTATCAATCGTATTCAAAGGAATCATCCCTTAAGGAAGACACCTTGTCCTTTCTTAATGAAATGGTGTGTTCTCGCTTGAGCTTTTTATCTCTTCATATGAACATGATGATGATGATGGTGATGATGATAGATCAAAGATGGGATTCCATGCTTGGTTCCAAAGGATGGCAAGATTCTTGAAGTGGGAGAAGGTGATGATGCATCAAAAGCTTGACGATTTTGCTTTTGCGCCTAAAACGGATTAGACTATTGGATCAGGGCAAAGGGTAGAAACATGTTCCACATGATCTTGTCTTGTGTGCTGATTTAGGTTATCTTGTGGTTTGGTTCATTTGGAGTTTCACTAAAATGTTGTTGAAGCAAATATAGAACAAACCCAATTGGGCATTAGATGTTTGGGAGGCAGCTTAGTGACTGGTGGCCACGTTACCCGAAACCCGACCCGACCCGACCACTTCATCCGAATCCTTTCCGAAAATTCGATACCCGGAAGTTTCAGATTTAGTTCGGGTAATAAAACTGTTTTATCGGGTTCCGGTTTAATCCTATTGGTATTCGGTTTCTTTTTATTTTGAAAAAAAAAATATTGATTCGGTTTTTAGTCGAGTTCGGATTTGATTGGTAACATTATTTATTTTAAATTACTAGGTGAGATCCGCGCGATGCGCGGTTGATTCTTTTTTATTTTAATATAAAATATTTTCTCTTTTGTTATGAAAAAACGTTGAAATGAATATAACAAAACTAATATATATATATATACAAAGGTCTTTAAAATTTGAAAATATAGATATTATTGTATTATTTTATTATAAAATTCTTTTTATATATTCGTTGAATACGTTTATATATTTTTTACGGTGAAGTACATGTTTAATAAAAAACATTTGTTTACACCGATTTTTTGTTTTTGTCAAATAAATATTAAACTTTTTAAGTGAATTTAAAAAACATTTAACTTTTTAAGTGATCCAAAAAATACATAAACGTTTATGCGATTGTCAAAAAAAAATATTAAACACTTTAAATGATTCCAAAAAATACATGAACTATATACAATCGTAAAAAAACTAAAATAATAATTTGACATGTTTGCATTTTCTTATATCACGTCATCTCATTTGTTTATTTTGAAAATCGTAGAAGAATTAAGTTTTGTTTTGACAAATTTAAAAAGTTTTATGTTTATTTGATAAAATCAAAATTTTAGTTTTTTTTATCAAATTTGGAAAGTTCAATATTTTTTTAGGATTTTTCATTCAATTTCGATTGGAATTTAAACATAACAAAAATAGATATCGTCATTTTCGTAAACTAAAAATTTAATTTGTAAATCCAATACGTGAACTAAAATTACTTGGAGTAATTCTAATATAAATATTTCATAAACATAACGCATATTACCAGCTTTTTATGTAATCCAAAACATCATATGTCACTTACTTCTCTGTTGTTTCGTTAACATCAAACCATTACATATTCTGACAACAATCCGATCCCTCTCAAATGATATATACAATGCTGATCTGATTATTATTGTGATTGATGAGTATTTGTTATATGAAGGGAATATCATCTGGTTTTAGTGGACAAAGCGGTCCATTACAAAGCCACCATCGGCGGCAAGGGAGGGAGCACAGTATGTATCTGAGCATTGATTTTCCGGCGAGAACAAGCTAGGTGACTCGGCCACTGGTACAGACGATTCCGGTCCAATGACACGGAGTCGGGTTGGAATCTGACCAGGAGCACGCAGAACAAACCGATCTCGATGGCGGATTTTAAGGCAAACACAAACACCCCATTAGAATTAAGCGATGAACAGAAGCTCACCATGCACAGAAAGATGAAAGAAACAAAAAGAAAACAAAACTAAAGCATATTCATTTCGAACAAAGAAATCTGAAATATGCGTCAGTGATTGTTCTAAAGAGGAATCATGAGGTGGGTGAAGCAACGAGGAATTGCAGAGAGAAGACGAAGGAGAAGACTAAGAAATGTTATCGAGGTTGGAGTGTTATGCATTCCTTGAGCAACGTGGTGTAATGAAACCATTAGAAAGTTTTTGAATTCTTGGCAGAAACGTGGTGTAATGAAACTACGAAGCTGGGTTGTGCTGGTCACCTCTGAGCAAATTCAGTAGAATATACTCGTAAGCAAGCCTTGAAGTTCACCAAAAACAATGATAAAATGGATCCAAAAAAAATTTGAAATTTTAGGTTTTTATACGCATAAAAGTCAAAATTTAAAACGAAAATTTTTGAAATTGAGAGTGATTCGAACGCTATGGACGCATGAGCTTCTGCAGTAAGAGTATAGCTTCATCTTCTCCTTCGCCGGAAATCGTCTGATGAGACAGCAATTTAGGATATTGCCTGGTCATGGAACGAAACAGCCAAAAAAAATTGGATAGATTTGGTGAGGACACCTAAGCATCCTATGTGGCAATTTTCTTCATTTCAATTGGTTTATAAACATGTTCATTAGTTTTAACTACATGAAAAATATCAATTGACTAATTAATGAAAAACAATATTATTAGTTATCTTAATGAAGAAAAATTAAAAAATTTCATCTTTGTAATATAAAAAATATTATTAGTTATCTTGATAATATTATTCAAATTACAAAATTAAAATATAATATTATATAATAATCTTGAGAGAATGATAAAAGAAAAATATCAATAGAAATCTAGGTGGAATCTTTAATAGTATACAAAAAAGAAAATATCAATGGACATTTTGGTGGAATCAACCTAGCGTGATAACAATCATTTAATAACCACTAATGAAAAAAACTATTAGTCTTCCCCACTAATTCACTAATGAAAAACGTTACTAATGAAAACCGACGTTATAAATATTTGCATTGCATGTCCATTTTATTTATTTTTTGTATAATTGCAATTAAAGTTCTTGGTTGGGGTGAAGATGGTTTTTATTTGATGAGCAATCCTTGCATTCTCTAGCATGTTCTGTCGTTGTGGAATATCTCTCGAGTGTAAATGTGAAACAGTTTATAATCCGTAGCCGTCGCAAGATATTTGCTTATCATATTGTGATCCAACTCGCTGAGGATCTCTCCCAAGGGTAATTTTCAACGATTTCTTTTCATTATTTTATTTGAAGAAATCGTGAGTTTGATCGAGTGCAGGTAAAGCTATTAGATTTCGAAGAAGATCGTTTATCTTGATGTGAAAATATAGAATATGCTTCTAAACACCAACATGAATCTGAAGATAATTGATTTTGGGTTGTTCGGGTGGAGGCACACAATCCAAAGGACATGAGCGGTGAAACTGATACTTTTGGATAAATGAATTATGAGGTATATACTAACCTCTCCATCGGATTTAAAGAAACACCATAATTCATTGTGTTCTGGATGGCAAACCCTACTATATGTTGGATAATGCCCAAAAAGAAACACAAAGGGAGACAAAGATTTTTACTTCAAATGTACTACAAAATGTTTTGTTTGACTTTGTATGTTGGCAGTTGAGTTATAGATTTTTAACATCTTAAATATTTCTTATACAATATCATAAATATGATAAATTATGGTTCGCTTCAAAGGTATTTTATATTGCTCCAATAAAAATAAATTGTAGATTTTTTTTTAAGTTTTATACAGGAATATTTATTCAGTAACCATATAAATATATAGATCTAATTATCTCCATATAGACTATATATTTTCAGAACATACATATATATATATACACACACTATCTTTATGTTCTATATGTTTCAGAACTTGCACTTAGACCTACGGATATACAACACTTATCTCTTGATGCCTCTTTTTTTAACCATAAATAATGAATTAGAGTTGTCAAATGGAAAAGCAAATATATCTATATATCTATATATATATATTGATTACATATTTCAAATGATATATACAATGCTGATCTGATTATTATTGTGATTGATGAGTATTTGTTATATGAAGGGAATATCATCTGGTTTTAGTGGACAAAGCGGTCCATTACAAAGCCACCATCGGCGGCAAGGGAGGGAGCACAGTATGTATCTGAGCATTGATTTTCCGGCGAGAACAAGCTAGGTGACTCGGCCACTGGTACAGACGATTCCGGTCCAATGACACGGAGTCGGGTTGGAATCTGACCAGGAGCACGCAGAACAAACCGATCTCGATGGCGGATTTTAAGGCAAACACAAACACCCCATTAGAATTAAGCGATGAACAGAAGCTCACCATGCACAGAAAGATGAAAGAAACAAAAAGAAAACAAAACTAAAGCATATTCATTTCGAACAAAGAAATCTGAAATATGCGTCAGTGATTGTTCTAAAGAGGAATCATGAGGTGGGTGAAGCAACGAGGAATTGCAGAGAGAAGACGAAGGAGAAGACTAAGAAATGTTATCGAGGTTGGAGTGTTATGCATTCCTTGAGCAACGTGGTGTAATGAAACCATTAGAAAGTTTTTGAATTCTTGGCAGAAACGTGGTGTAATGAAACTACGAAGCTGGGTTGTGCTGGTCACCTCTGAGCAAATTCAGTAGAATATACTCGTAAGCAAGCCTTGAAGTTCACCAAAAACAATGATAAAATGGATCCAAAAAAATTTTGAAATTTTAGGTTTTTATACGCATAAAAGTCAAAATTTAAAACGAAAATTTTTGAAATTGAGAGTGATTCGAACGCTATGGACGCATGAGCTTCTGCAGTAAGAGTATAGCTTCATCTTCTCCTTCGCCGGAAACCTTTCGCATAATAGTATCCAATTTTTTTTGGCTGTTTCGTTCCATGACCAGGCAATATCCTAAATTGCTGTCTCATCAGACGATTTCCGGCGAAGGAGAAGATGAAGCTATACTCTTACTGCAGAAGCTCATGCGTCCATAGCGTTCGAATCACTCTCAATTTCAAAAATTTTCGTTTTAAATTTTGACTTTTATGCGTATAAAAACCTAAAATTTCAAATTTTTTTTGGATCCATTTTATCATTGTTTTTGGTGAACTTCAAGGCTTGCTTACGAGTATATTCTACTGAATTTGCTCAGAGGTGACCAGCACAACCCAGCTTCGTAGTTTCATTACACCACGTTTCTGCCAAGAATTCAAAAACTTTCTAATGGTTTCATTACACCACGTTGCTCAAGGAATGCATAACACTCCAACCTCGATAACATTTCTTAGTCTTCTCCTTCGTCTTCTCTCTGCAATTCCTCGTTGCTTCACCCACCTCATGATTCCTCTTTAGAACAATCACTGACGCATATTTCAGATTTCTTTGTTCGAAATGAATATGCTTTAGTTTTGTTTTCTTTTTGTTTCTTTCATCTTTCTGTGCATGGTGAGCTTCTGTTCATCGCTTAATTCTAATGGGGTGTTTGTGTTTGCCTTAAAATCCGCCATCGAGATCGGTTTGTTCTGCGTGCTCCTGGTCAGATTCCAACCCGACTCCGTGTCATTGGACCGGAATCGTCTGTACCAGTGGCCGAGTCACCTAGCTTGTTCTCGCCGGAAAATCAATGCTCAGATACATACTGTGCTCCCTCCCTTGCCGCCGATGGTGGCTTTGTAATGGACCGCTTTGTCCACTAAAACCAGATGATATTCCCTTCAT